CCAAATTTCAGTCAAATCAATCAAACAAATTTGTGATCAAATCACACAAAGGTCGGAGCCGGAGACTTACATCGAGTTTTCTTTGAATGGTTCTGGGTCGTTTTTTAGGCCGTCGCGGTGGTCGGTGACCAAAAAGCGCCATGAAATCCTCCTCGATCTCTTTCTTCGAGAGCCTCACGGAGAACTTGGGCCGCGCCGTCGTCTCTGCTTCGACCACTCCGCCTCTTTCCTTCACCCTCGTCGGCGACGGATTCACTAACCTCTCCTCGATTCCGTTATTGATTTGATTGAAGCTGTTGTAGTGGTTACCGGAAACCGGTTCTTTGCACGCTGCTCTTCTTTTTCTCAGATTCCATGGCTTCGCCGGAGAAATCTCTCTCTCCTTCTCTTGGCCGGAGCAATCGTCTTTCCGCCGCCGTTGTTCGTCTTCCTCACCAAAAGCGTCTTTCCTGAACATGGATTGTGTGATCTTATCCCTCACCGTCTTCAGATCCGACATAATCTTCTCCCTAAACTCCTCGATCCCTTCCTCGCACTCGTTTTCCACAGATTTGAAAGGCGCGTTTCTCAATTGATGATCAGACTCGCCGAATTGAATCGGAGCGAATTTCAGAGGAGGAGATCGGCGTCGGAGTCGGTGATCGCCGGAGCCGGCGTTAGTCGTAGTAGAGTCGATCTTCATGCACTTGAGATGTCTCTGACTGCCCCACTTCAAGTTCGGGAGCGTGAAATTATGGAGACTCGTCTTCGATCGATCAGGTCTAGTCGTCGTCATCTCACCGCGTAATACCATTGATCGGTGCACTCTTCTTCTTCTCTCTATCGATCCAAGAAACCAAACGAATCAAATCAATCTCTTCTCCAAGCCAAAACTCGGAGATTTTTCTCGAGAAAATCGCTTCGACGGAATATTTCACCGGCGGTGCTGTTTTTTTTTCCTCCGCTTGGTTTTTTGTTAACGATACCGCCAGGGAAAGGCTAATAAGCTTGTTTATATACCAAGAATTCAGAGTGTTTTTTTTTTTAATTTGCAAACCAATGCTTGATCCGAGGGTAGTTTCGGTAATTTAGTTATTACTTCGCTAAAATGCGCACGTGCTTGGAGGTTTTACATTTTCCCGGGTTCTGAACATTCCCATTTTAGTTTTAAGTGAGAGGTGAATTAACAGCCGTTGGATTGTTTCATCTTGGCCGTTTATCTTAACCCACCGCACAATCTCAGTCGAGCCCATTATTTTCTCTCTTTTTTATACGGTAAATCAACAACATTCACTTTTACTAGGTCAATTTCAAATTTTGATGGTTACTTAATTCGAAATTTAATTGCTTCTAGGATTCGATAATTTGGCTACCCTAAAATCTTAGGTCTTTAAAAAGAAAGCTCACCAATGTTATTTTCTTTTTGGTTGAACTATTTACTACATTGTTCGATGAATGGTAATACATAGTATTCCCCTATTTAATTGTTCAACTATGGAAAATACTTAAATCTCATCAATTGGAAACTGAATATAGTTTTTTAAGAGCTGATGAATGTATATAATGCTGTATTTAGTAACATGCAATATTTATATAAATTCCAAATCTAACGTAACTACAACAAACTTCTGCTCCAGAAACACATCTCATTTCACTTGAACGTGTATAAAACCATTTAGTGTTAGATCATTGGACGATGAGACTCATAAATGTCAACAAAAAATATCATTTATAAAAAATAATTGAGAATTTTCCATTTTAAAAAAGTCAACTTTCCATTTTTTGGAGTGGCTTTAAAAGGGGATATACCAAATTTACTAACTAATTCCGAACTTGTAAGAATCAGAAAGTTGAATAAGTGTTGTTGTAATCACTGGTTTTCACTACCCCGCCAGTTTTACTATGACTTTATTTTCAAGATTCAATCTTGTTCTTCCTTTTCAATACATACAGGATAAAATATCCAGCTCCTGCAGCTATTAGCGACATTATAAAACCTGGCTCATTGATCTTTAATGGAATCTGGCTGCTGATATAACTCGCTGTCCACCGTATCACAAAACGCAATCCGCAACTTGCTTTGAACTTCTGGATCGAGAATCCCTGAATCAAATCAATTTAAGAAGCAGTGAAGCACTGGTAGTAACTTTGCTAGGAACTTTCTAAGGTTGTTTTTCTGAGACTTTTTTCCTAAGAATGCACGTTTTGTATGCATTTGCAATTTGGATTGAAGAAGAGTATTTACATCTGGTAATTTATCTTCTACAGCCAGATTGTCGATATGCAGCCTTACGTTTGATGCTGCAGCCAACCAGAAACTGCGATCCACACTTGAGTACACATTTGCAACTATGTCAAATAACGTCCGAGCTCCGTCCTCGGTGGCCTTTCGGATGGATTCTTCTCTGCTTCTGCGGTTTCTAGAAAACAAGATCACTACAACCATCAGAATTGCTTGGTACTTGTGTATCAATATCTTTCTTAAGTTTCCTCTATTATATCCGATCAACTGATAGACAAAACATCAACAGGTTTTCAAAAATCAGATTTATCCAAAACAGCATATTATTGTTCATACTTGAGATATCCGCAAAGCATGTGTTTCGGCCACAAATTGACCCTTCCATGCATGGGAATCACTACATGAGGAGAAAGCTCTAGGATTTTATATGTTGATTGAAAGTACTCCTGCAAAGGAAAATGGAAATTGAGGAACTTGATAAACAACTAAACAAATTTCGAACAAACTAATTAAAAATACATTACTATCTAGTATCTACCCAACTTCTTTGAACTATATTGAAGTAGCAAATTTGGAAACAAAACGTTCCTATGAAACATCCCAATCTATTTCAGGTCAACCCTCACACTAAGTTTTGCATTCAACTATTTGAATTAGAAAACAGTACCAAACATCCAGGGTTACTTAGTACTTACTGTCATGTTCCCACCTGACCTGATGTCCAAGAAAGCACTTCCTTTACTGAAACAACCAAAATTGGTGAATTAACATTGGTTGAGTCGCTCTTTTTAACCGACTTGAATTGGCCTATAGCAACAGAGATTTACGCAAGTTGTCTGTCTTACCCAACACAATGATCACCAACAATCAGAGAATGAGTGGAGTTATGAAGCAGTGCCATATGGCCATCTGTGTGTCCCTGGGAATATTTTTCTTGGTTAAGAGTTTACTAAAATGTATACTTTCCATCAGAGCAGCAAATATGGGGGATTTTAAATAGCTAGATAGGTACCGGAGCAAAAATGACGGTCAATCTCTGACCATTGACATAGATGTTTTCTCCTCCAGAAACTGGGGTATAGTCACCAGACCAACCATCTGTAATTACACCACACAGTATATGAATATACTGTAAGAAGTTAGAATTCCAACAAGGGAAAACAATATTGATAACTGATACCAATCCGATGCCTAGTTTTGACATGTGCCACTAAAATAGCATCAGGATTACTTTCTTGTATAGCAGAAAGCCCTGAAACAAGATGAAGAGAAAGATCATAGGCATAAATAACTGTGTTTTCGATTTTCAAGAGAGAAGGGAAGGAAACCAATAGAAGCCACCACAGATCCCTACCATCTATGTGATCAGGATGGTGATGTGTAACAAAGACAATTAGCTTTCTAGGTAAAGCATCAACGATTTTCTTGAGCTGGTAAAAAAAACGCAATGCAGTTATGAATATTTTATCATGACAAAACATACAGACCAAATCTTTGAAGATGGTGAGAAGCTATTATTTTATTTTTACTGTCCTGAAGGGAAATAAAGGATATAGTAGGAATGCTGAAACTACACATAGGTGCTAGTGACAAACCTCAACGTGGAGTTTCTTGAGGCACCCAGGATCCACTATCAACGCATCCCCATAAGCTACAAAATCGGTCCCTTGATGGTCCGCTGAACCATTTTCTGGAGCAAATACTACCAAGTTTGTTGTCTTGAAAGGTTTCAGTGTTCTACTACGCATTGGCACAATCATAACACCAGGTGGATATTCCTGAGGTAAAAAGTAGGATTCTAACAAAGATAAACATCATAAGATGAAACCACTTGGATGAAGTCAGATGAAGAAGACAAGTATAGCTAGTCTGGCAACGCAACAACAGACCTGGATAGGCAGAGAAGTTGAAAACTTTTGCTGCGTGGCCTGAAGGGTACCATCCCCAAGTCCGAGTAGTACTAGTGGTCCAATACGATCACTTCCCGGTTTTACATCTATAAGACAGTCAAAGCATGCTTCCATGGACATCCACTTATGGTTGTCTGCACTAAAAGAAAATAAACGAGTGAGTTTCATTTTCAGCTATTTCCACAAGCTCTGGAGGCAATGGAAACCAAGAAAGAAACGAAACAAGAATTGGTAACTAGAGAAACACAAATGTTATGTTGCCATCAACCAAAGCATTGAGATTGTGTTTTACTATGGAATTAAAAGCAACCTTGAGAAGTTGGATCTTTATCCAAGAGCTTTCCGGCGATAAAGCAAGTAGAGACGCAGGAATCAGGTCCAAATTCAGGCTCCTCTACATACCTGACGAAACTCCACTCTCCTACATGGCTAAAATCAAACCCTAAATTCGCCAACAGCTGCATTTACTTGGAAACATCACTTGGCAGAAACAATAAGAAATCGCGAGAAAGAGGACTGTGCAAAACTAACCCGATTCAGAGTAGATTCTATGTCGAAATTCTTCAAATCGACCTGGTCCGAGCATGATTCAACTATGGAGACAGCAATCCCGGAGCTGATTCGGCCTTCTAGAAGCAGAAAATCTGTTGATGGCAAGTCCCAGAGATCGGAATCGATGAAGGTATCGTACGCCTTATCCCCAAATTTCGCCGGCGGTAATAGCTTCTGGAGTAGGAACTCGGCGTCGTCTATAGGGTTTCTGATGACCACAGCAAGATTGAGATTGCCCATTGCTGCAGATGCTGAATCCAAAATCTTATTATGGCTTTCCAGCTTCGATGAAAAGAAATGAAGAAGAAACTTTGATTTTGATGTATAGGAAGTCGGGAATCGCCGTGGGAGATGACGGAGAAGTGACCTGGATAATTAGTATGATAAACTAATTAAGTTTGTCAAAATTAAATAAATTTGTCGTCAAAAGTTTACAAATTTATCGAAAGTTAATTAGGTTTGTCAAAGTTATCAATCAAATAAATAAGTGGAACAGTAATAAATATGTTAATATTAACTAAATTTGTGGTAAAACAAAATAAATCTATCTAAAAATAAGTTTTTTTTTTAACTTTTCATTAAACTAATTTTTTGAGTTTTTACATTTTTATGGCCCTAACCAAAATTCTAGGATTGGGCCTTGTTAACACTTTATATACAATGATTAAATGGGTCAGACCTGCTACAAAGTAAATGATCCATGCAACCCTAGAAACCCTAGAATTCCTAG